GAAACTCTCATTCCCAGCACCAAGAGGGGCAAAGTGAAATAGCTGTAAATAAGTCACAAGCGTGTTAATGTTGCTCAAAGGTAGGACTCCAGCTGCATTCGGGTAGTGTTTTATTATGCGTATAAATAAGAACCCCTCCATGTCTCAGAGCTGGCAGCACAGTCTGGAAGAAGGAGCTCAGGGCTCAGAGTGAAAGACCCTGTGTTCCAACCTGCTGCAGCAGTGGCTGCTTCATTTCTTTACACATTATCCTCACCTATAAAATAACATTCTTAATACTTACCCATTACACAGCAACAGGATAGATCTTGCTCTGTTAACAAAAGCAAATGTGAAGGCCTCTGTATTTGGCCCATGATTATCTTGGCTGGTTAAAACCCCTGGAGAAGATTAGTGGGAGAATATGCAACTTTATCTGTGGGCAGATAAAGTATTTGTCGTTCCCACTCTCATTAGGGACAATTTTCCTCAGCTGTAGGAATATAATATTTTCTGTTTTAGGTAAATAACTAAGAACGACGCAATGAAGTTTTGGAAGCCTCATGTTTTCTTGACTTCGGATAACCTGGTTTTGTTTATGGGTATCTTCTCTGTCACTGGTCTCCCAGCTGTGACATGGGGTCAGGGATCCTCATGGCTCCATACCCACCCAGTTTTCATGGTCATGCTGAGAAGTGTCACCCCAGTCATAGTCCGCAGGTGCAGCTCAGCACCTGGCAGGAAGTTATTTTCCAAAGATGAGGACTTCCAGGCAATGGTTCCCTCTCTCCTTAGGGACAATTTTTCCCAGCTATGGAAATGCCATCTTTTCTGCTTTAGGCAAGTAATTAAGAAGTTTGCAGATGCCTTGCCTTTAGGACACACTCACTGGCTTTCCTGTTTTCTGAGGACACTAGACAAGGATTGCAGACACTGCTCATCACGGCCTGGCTTTTTCTGCCCCCCTTACCCTGTTGCTGGCAGATGAAAAGGTTCATCTTCATGAGTAGTTTCAAGAGATGGAAGGACATGCTCCCAGACCAAGGGCCAATTTCACACCACAGACTTCTTTCTGGTGTTCGTGCCATTTGAGCAGAGATGACTAGTGGACAATGTATTAATTACGACACCTGTTCTTATACACAGTAGCCTCATTATGCATAAATGCCACACAGGTTGAGCAGTGTCTGGGTGTGGACACTCACAGCTTGTGCTGTGGCAAACCTGCAGCAAAGACCCAATGGTCCAACACACCTCCCTTCTGAAAACAGGCCAGCATTTGCCAGGGGCAGGACTTGGGAAGCTCCCTCAGAAAGCTGCAGGCAATGTGGAAAGTTTGCACACTAGATGGAATAACCACATCTGAGATCCAGCTATCACAGGAAGGGAGACTACCTTCTATGCATAGAAGCAGAATAGGAGGCCACCCTCACACTGGCAACATAGCCACCAGTATTCAGCATTTCTATTCCTTATTTTCCATTGTGGAAAGCTACAGAGCTGCAAGGAAGGTACTGACAAGCAGTCAAGGAATTCAGTTGCTGGTTGGCTATGCAGGACTTGGGAGCTCGAGGGTGAAAGTGATGCATGGAAATTAACTTAATTTTAAACCGCAGGCAAGAGAAGAGACTTGCTAGCAGTTACTTAAGAGAAGCTGCTGACTGTTTAAATACCATTAAGAAGATTAATGTCAGCCTGTAGAACCACTGAAAAATTAGGGCTGAAAGGGACCTTGAAAGGTCAGACCAGTCCATCCTGCTACCCCAAGGCAGGATCACCTAAAACCTTGGACATCCCTGACAGATGTTACTTAACTTGATCTTAAAGCTCTCCACTCCCCAGGCAGTCTATTCTTTATTATCCCTGTCATTAGAAAGTTTTTCCTAACATCTAAATTGAGTAATTGAGTCTTTCCTGCTGTGACTTAAGCCTTTTTTTTTTTTTTTTTTTTTTTCCCCTCTTCTCCATCACAGACAAGGAGCAAAGATTATGTCCTTTTATGTGCTTAAAGATCTCAGTTCTCTTCTTAGGGTAAGAAAATTTCAGTTGTTTCAGGCTTCCTGGGTAAGTAAGGGTTCTCAGTTTCCACTCCTTCTCCCTGCTTTCCACTGGGCTGGATCCAATTACTCCACATCTCCCCTCAACTTATTTTCCATCACCTCAACATCATGACACAGCTGCCTCACATTCAGCTTTTGATCCTTTTCCTGAAGAATTGCTACTTCATCCATCCCTCCCTCCCTCCTCTCTACCTGGGGAGTTCAGATTGCTGTTCCACTGTACAACCTTCCACTTATTGAGCTGCCTCCCGTTCCTTTCAGGCTATTTTCCCAATTTGCCCACATAGTTTTTACATCTAAACTCGCCCAACACCATATCTGCAGTTTTATTTCATGCGTGAAATACGACATCCATAGGTTTACCCTTTACAACAAGAAGAAAACGAAGCTGAACTGAATGGGGTGTCGGGTGGAACCGCGGGCGGCCCGTGGCTGCCCCCTGCTGGGGGGGAGCCGGGCCCCGTTACCCTGTTGTTCGGTCATGAATCTCTCCTGGGATAGGGCTACAGGGAGCTGCTGTGCTTCATGGTCCTAGGGGCTGTGGGAGGGGATCCGGAGCCCAGAGACAGACGGCTTTCTGCAGGGGTGAGAGGCTCTCGGGAGGCCCCCGCGCCCAAAGGCAATTTTCATACAAACACAATGCTAACAACTAGGATCAGTTAACTCTGAGCAGAGAAAGCTCTGGTCCATGTGATGAGAGGAACCAGCAAAAGCCTAGAAAGCAGATCAAAACCTGCAGGGTGCTTGCAGAGGAGTCCTTTCCTCCAAGCCATCACCTTTCAGGGGCCCCTAAAGAGAACACATTTTGCACAGTCTGCTCCACATCCCTGCAAAGTGCTTCTCTGGGTGCCTTTAAGACTTGGTTCCAACTATGTTCCACACAGCATCCTCCCATTCTGCACCCTGCCTTCAGGCTGCCTCCACCCTGCACTCCACGGCTTGCAGGTAAGGCCCAGTCTCCAATCCCTCCAAAGGGCTCTCTTTGGCCAGGGAAGGAAAGCAGGCAAGAAGGCTTTGTTTATACAGATGTGCACTTAATAAGCCTGCCCTCACAAGCTGTCATGACTTGCCACGGTCAGGAGCAATGGTTGCACACCAGAGTTCAAGCAAGGACTGGAAGCCACTCCTGTACAAGGGACAGAGGTTTTATCAGCCCACTTAGGGGCCTACACAGCCAGTAAAGAGGAATGATGAGAACGTGTCTTCCAGACAGCTCACTAGATCAGAGGTAGGCCCGGACAGTCAGGTTACCTCTTCATATTCACTCCCCCCTTGGCCCTTTGCCTGTTGTTTTGCAGTGAGGACACTTCTTCACCCTACACTTGGTCAACAAGGTAGGAAAAGGGGACACCACTAAAAAAAGCCCATGTGGCACCACAGTAGATGTGCAAGAGACAGAACCTAGAACTGCCTTTGCTCTCCAGGTAAACTGAAGTCTACTTCAGTGCCACCTTCTCTCCAGGCACTGAAAGGCACTTTTGGCTTGCAGATTAATCAAAACAGGCTGATCTCAGCTCGTTTCTTATTCTACCTAAACTACCTCAGTCAGCAAGTGTCCAAGAACACCTCATGCCCCCGGCCCCATACTGCACCCATCTTGCCAGCAAGCGCAGCTGCCACTTGGCTGTGAGGAGCCCACCTGCCTGATGGAGACGTGCCCCCCAGCAGCACCAGCGATTAACACATGCCAGAGAGGACCCGGGTAGGCAGGCTGCACCTCTTCTAATTGACTGAAGGAAGAGGAACACTTGAACTTGCTCCAAAAGGAAGCAGAAGCTCCAGCTTCCCCACACTGATTTACTGGCAGAGCTTGCCCAAACCTGCAGGTAAGTGTCAGCTTGCAGACAGGCAGTTTAGAGGAAGCAAAGTTAGGCTAGAACAAGTGAGTTGGAGGTAGTGGTCCACCTGGCAGTTCAGATGCAGTCCCTGGGCTCAGCTTAAACATGTCTGCCTTCCCTACTCCATTATACCTACAAGTACTGGCCCTTCCCAGCCGTTATTTTCTTCAGCATGACTCATTCCAACTACAGGTCCATTGTTTCCTTCAACACCATCTATCCAGGCCCTGCAAAACACACCAGGGAAAACTCCATCAGAGCACCTAGACCCTTTCCATACGGTCAGTTCCTGGGGAGAAACAGAGATACTACATAATATCCCACTTTTTATTTTAACCACACAAAGTATATCAACATGCTTTTCATTTTCCCAGAACATTACATGTAGTACTAGTCTAGTTTAGCTCAGGGCGAAGCTTAAGGCCAATGAAAAGAGCAAGAATCTCTCCAGAACCACCCAACCTCTGTCCCTCAGGCCACGATGGCATTGAGATGTACTAGGTACTTCAGTGATAAGCACCAGAGAGCTCTGCTGGCAAAACACAGATAGCACACAGACAAAAACCAAGCCAGAAGCTAGCTTCCTAAGCAAGCAGATGGAGCAGACTACCTGACAGCCATCACTACAGCATTACATCAATCAGAGCAGTAAGTTTACATGCTTTTTTTAGCAAGTTACCAGGAAGGAATGTTTGCAAAAGGCATAGTGATGTGATCACATCTGAGAACTTCACTTTCCAAGCCTCTCAAGAATAGAAGTTTTCAGTTAAAGGCCTCCCTGTAATCATTACACAGGGCAAAGCCTGCTCAGCAGTGAATGCAAGCAGTTCCATAGAACAATGACAACTGCAGGTGCAAAGGAGGAAATGCTAGAGGCAGTTATAGTGCTTCAACATTTATTTTCCCCAAAGACACATAAAAGAATTAAAACAGTTCTAAAAACCACAATGCTTTATAATAGTTCACAATACATAAATGCTAACCATGCTTCCTGCTTAGAATAACCAGCAGGGAGGTCTTTCATTCAGGCCTTTATGTCAGTAGGTGCATAAAGCTGTTTCATTTACTTCAGGTACAGAACAAGTGACAGGAGAAATGCATGGCAGAGTCATTCCAGTTTGCTTCAAGGCCAGGAAATTCTCCTGAGAGAGATGCTCTGCTGTTGACTGGAAGCCATGTTCAGCAGATACTGCTCACATTGCGTACAGATGTCAGCAGTCAGCCAGTCTGCCATGGTCTTTGTGTAACAGCACAGAGGCTGTGCTAGGCAATGGGGTTCCAAAATAACAGGTACACTGGAGCAGGAGAGGGAAAAAGAAAAGCAGGAAAGCTGACACAGGTGGGTTTCTGTTAGAGGCTAGGGTGTTCTTCCACCTTTCCCCCACGTGTGATTGAATACTGCTAAGTGATTTGGCTAAATGCCTGAGTTCAACAGAGCAGTCAGCTTCGCTTGGGAAAGCTACTAAGCATCAGAACAGCTTCATTTACTGACACCTTCTCTCTATTGACAGTGTGTCAGCCAAATGGTATCTGTGGTTGATCCAAGGTTATGGCTACATCCTTATGCTGTAGGATTGAGGTTTTTTCCATCCTAAAGTATGGCAGTAATGCAGTCACTCAGACCTCTTCTGCACCACCTGCATTACAAGACAGACCAAACCACTGCCCCACACAGTTAACTTCAGTAATGAACACTGTCCCCAATTTTTTGGCAACTTAAGTATGAGCCTTTGACCCAGAAACTGCTGTGACTTCATATTAGCTACATTAAAGAATGGCTTAAAAGAGAAAAGACACTTGTTCCCCCAGTGGAATATATAACTGATTTGGAAAGAAAAGAACAAATAATGTATGTTTCCAGTGCTAGGTATTGCACTTTTACCAACAAGATCTGTCTTTTCCACCCAGAACTGTTTTTCAAATAGTTCCCTTTCTGAGGATAAAAAGGAGAGGGTGTGTGCAGGGTCTGAGAAACCATTTGTGGCATTATTCTTCAGTCAGTTATACCTGAGACTATTGGCAAATTTTATTTCTAGGTATAGAGGGGTTACTCCTGGGTCTGTAGAGACAGACTCCTGGCTGTAGGGGACAGAATATCATGGGGTCTGGAAATTCTCACACAAATGAAGCTGTTGCAAGGAACCTTCTATGTCTGGGCTATTATTGACACTTCTGAATTCATGTCAGAAACCTGACAGCTAAAAAGCAAAATGGATTTCAGAGCACCTACATGTCCTCATTTTTGATCATCTAAAACCCACAGTATTTCCAGAGAACTGCAGGCTAGTTAGACCAGTGGCTAAAGCAGTCATTCAGCTGAGCAGCATAACATACTGTTACCTGCATGTTTGCAGGCTTGCATATACAAATAACTGCTAACATCTTTCCAAGTGAAAACAGAACATCCCTGTCCCAGCTTACCCAAACCACTCCCAGTGCTCTATTTCATGCAGCAACTCCAAGTTCTTCTGCTCTTGGATAGCTGAGTCCTCCTCTCTGGAGAGTCTCAAAAGTTTTAAGAAGTGAAGTGGAAGATGTACACACATTCTGAAAGGCATGGACATCTAGAATCACAGCACAAGTCACCTGAGTTCTCAGGGAAACACATCCTCCTTCTTAGCAGGAAAATTCACATGGCATGCAATTGATTTATGGGTGCACTTAGAAGATAGACATTATTGCAGTGAACTTCCTGACCCTTGTGTAAATAGAGCATAGAGCAATCCCAACCACTTTACACAGAATGAAAGAAAGAAGAACCAGAGTTGTTTTAGCTGAGTACAACAAGAGATGTCTGTGGCACCCTGGCTGCTTTTGCACCTTGTAATATTCCCTCTTCTATTGTCTTAAAAGGAAGCCAGAGGGTTGATGTGAAGTATCAGTGGGTGAAGGAAAGCTTCCTATGACAAGGTATGGTGCAGGGAAAACAGAAAATATGAAAACCCCACATGTTGTAAAGACTAGACTTGCCTTGATGCAGCAGTCACAACAGACAACACTAAGAGAAAAAAAAGTTCCCACCATGATCATTTAACTGAAGCTCAGCAGATACCAATACTGCACCCTTAGCTAAGCTAAGGGTAACTCTCCCAAGTAAGTCTTAATTTGTGATTGTGGCACAATCATTTGATGGCAAAGTGAGCAAGCTTAGAACTCCCCTATTCAGCTTGCTAGCCCTCCTATTTACACTAGTTTATATAATCTGAAATGTGTCAACACCATAGCTTGAAGGCTTTATCTGCAAAGCCCATTGCTTTTCAGCCAGCACTGCCACCAGGCAGTTACTCAATTCCCAGTGGTTGTTTACTTGTTGTTTGTAATCAATTCAGTGCTTCACCACTGCTTCAAATAGATGTAAGTGAGCCTTAATGAGCCTGAAGTTCCTCTCTTCCCCTCCCATGAACAGAAAACCTCTGACAAATAAGTGTATGCAAGTAGGTCCAACTCCTTTCCCAGTCATCAACAGAAGATTCTGGTGAAGAGCCTCTTCCAAAACCTGCTCAATCCCTTGCCTAAAGCTAAATCGAACCTTTAGAGGAATATGCAAAGAGTTATCTCAGAGAAATTCAACCTACTATTTCTACAGTAAATTTGGTTATTGCTAGCTTAATACTAAGGGTTAAACTTAAGATACCACTTCAGAGGCAAGTTTTTACACATCCTCTGCAGCTGTAGACACTTCAGGCCAGTTTGTGCAGTAAGGCAAAACTGAAGGGCTCTGCAACCTGTTCCTATCCAGTACTGCAACTGTTGCAATACCCAGTCTTGCCAGTACTGTTATTTCACCCTTTTCTCCCTCCTCATTCAGTCCTTTTGTACCAGCTCACCTGCTGCAGAGGTAACAGCTGTAAGGCCACTTAAGAAATATCTGCTTATGGCAGCTGAAACAGATCTGTGGAAAGGAAAGTTACTTGTGAATGCCAACGGGAAATATCTTTGTACCAACACTATCCACTGCCTGCCAAAGAGCAGGCACATAAACCAACCTTCTAAAGGCTTTAGATCCACATACAATAACAGAGGTCCAATAAAGGATACCAAAGACACAGGAATTAAAAGCTAAAAAGGCAAAAAAATGTCTACTTGTAGGCCAGTGTTTTTATGATGCAGAGGTTTGGGGCAGCTGCCAGACAACAGGAGTTTAAAAAAAGGCTCTTGAGCAAACAATAGCTGTATTGTGCAAGAGTGTAACAGTAGCTATAGTTAAGAGAGAGGGAAGAAGAGAGACATTCTTTGAGGTAGACTACAGCAATCCCGAAGAGATTAAGTCAGGGCAAATTTGAATTCAATCCTGAAGCGAAAAATGAGTCATAAGGAAGCTGATGAGTCGCTTGAACTTTATAAAAAAGAACACATTCATACACAGCTGGCAGTCAGAAGTGATATTATCTTCAGAAGTAGAGCCTGAGAAAGCTAAAAAAACTTCAGCAGCAAGAAAACAAAGGGGGGTAAGAGGGCCATTTTGTAATAGGCAGAGAGCAGACAAGTTAAAGCAGCGTTAGTAAGGAAGGTGAGAAGAAAACAAGAATTTGGTCTCAGAGCATCAGATGGGTTGTGGAAGTAGCATAGCTCTGCTAGCAGAACCCTTTGGCTCTGTCCATACTTCTAAGTAAGTGAGGGCAAGAAGCTGACCCCTAAGCCAAGTAACACAGATTGCTTCATGTGTGTTGCAAAGGGCTTGTACTCATGCTTTCTGCTCTAGAGGGGCTGGTTACAACAGCTCCTCTAAAGGAGACTAAGTCAGCAGGTAAGCAGTGAACACCCAACAGTCCTGTGCTGCAGGTCATTCCCTGTCCGCCTCATCTCCCCAGCCTTTGCACCCAGTCAGCAAGGTGGTTTGAATCAGCACAATTCAGGTGGGGGAGCCTGAGTTAAGAACCTTTGCTTCACTTTTAGTAGTGCCAAATACCAATTAATTACTTCATTATTTCAGAGCTGGCCAACAGTCATGGAAGTCAGCTCTCCCAGCATGGAAATAACAGATAAGAAGTATCAAGCAAAGCCTGGGCTACTTTCTAGGCAGCTTACACAGCTTAAGCTTGATTAGAAATGATCACCACACAAGTATCAAAAGATTTTAAGAGGCTGAAGCCAAACTTGGGTCAGCTGTATGAACAGGATATGTTGAGGCAAAGAGCACCTCCAGCAGTTCAGCACCGAGGGCCATGAAGCCAGCTTTTGAAAGGCAAAAACAACACAAAGGAAACATACCTTTGCTCTTGGAAAGACACCATTGCTACCTCTTTGGAAGAAGCCTTGCCCTTCCAGCACCATCATTGCATATCTGGTTCCAATCAGCTCAGCAATAGTTGGTGATGGCCACTGGGTAGGGAAGGGACAGTCCTATCAAAAGACAGAAGTTAAGCATCAGAGAAAGCTGAATGAAGCAAATATTTGGAGAGGTCATCCTCAAAACTGGGTCCCAAAAGGCTCAGAGGCATTTGTCCCTAAAACTCAGTTTTGTCAGTGATGGGGTATACCAGTTGACTCTTTAACAATACTAACAGAGAAACCACTACAAGGCTCTTAGTGGCTATTACAGTTTTCAAGCAGCTTCCTCACACCTCGTTAGGGAAGCAGGTGCCTTGGTCAGCACAGTAGTTAATACCATCCCCAGAGCCAATCTCTGGGGAAATTCTACCCTTTGGTAGGCCACAGCACAGATGACACCCTGTCCCCTCCTATATACAGGATCCCTTTCCACAGCACAATGCTCTCTTGCCTTCTATTTCCTAAGACCTACTGGCCCCACACAAATGGCAGCTATGGTCTGGTGGCTGACAAGGAGAGACAACAGTGTTTTTATCCCCAGATGTGGAGTCCAACCGACCCACACCCCCACCATACTGCTGAACAAAGAGGTCACTCAGGGTTATGGTTAGTTTAGAGACTTGCCAGAGGTGAGGAAGGGAAGGATGCAGAAGGAAAGGAGGAGGCAAGGGCTCAGCATACCTTGTTAGGGCAGAACAGGGTAAGGCCATGATTCAGAAGGTTGCACAGAAGCACACAACCCAGCATTGCTCCAATGACACTCATTCAGACCTGATGACTTCACACATTTAGAAGTCATTGATGCTGTGCTAGCTACATTTTTTTAACCACTTGTTCACTTTACTGAACCTTAAAGGATGTGTCTGAACTTCTCAGAATCTACAAAGAATCAGGGGAGATGGAGAAAACAAGACAGTCCCACTGCCAACTACAGTCTACTTGAGGAAACCTTGATAGACACTTTCAAGTTATGCAGTGGTATTTTTCTCTTCTTATAGGAACAACTTTATTTAATATAATTCAAACTGGGAAGCCTCTGCGAAGACACTACAGCCAACGAGACAACAATACCCCAACTTAAGATCAGTGTATCACGTGGCCTAAGATAAAAACACAGAACATGCTTACTGCTCTGGTCGTTACCGGATGTATCAGACCAGCCTTGGTAGCTGAAATGCCAGACTTACAAGTTCCTTGCTTTGACAGCCTCTCTCTAAAGAATTGGACCTTCCTCTGTGATGAGGCAGCTGCTGTTGGCCACTGTGCAAGAAACCATTATGTTTAATATCTCCTAGTAGGGGTGCACTCACAGGAGGACATGCACACTTTGCAGCAAGACCTGGACAGGAAGAGAGAATTTTAGGGTGCAGAAAACCAGCTGGAAGCTTCTAAGCATTCACTTCAAAAGCTGAACACTCAACAGCACTACATTGCCTTTTGAAGGTAGCAAAGCTTAAAACTCTGCCCCTCAAGCCCCATCAGCTCAGATCACAAAAAGCAGAGATCACAGTAACAATGCTTGCCAGTAGGCAAAGATGAGGCTTCATTAGCACCATTTAGTTTAATAAAATCAAGTGGTGCACTTTCTACTTGAAAATTCAAAACACTCATTTAGCTTTTACTGTGAATTCCAGTTAGGGCCTTTGGGGACATGCCATCTTATTTTGACGATGCAGGAGCTATACAAGCTTCAGTCAACTGCTGAGGAATTATTTTTTCTAAAGGCATCTCCCCAAACTAATTACTTAGTGTTGGAGCTTTTCCTTTGAAGTGCCTTCAGGTGATCTGAAAGAAAGTGTACAGTGAGCCCAACCTAAGGCTTTGGGAAGCCAGCAGGCCACTGACTGTACTTTGTCACAGTTTAGATGTTCAGCTAGAAGTGCACTGACCTGTGCTGTTGCAGGATACTACTGATGACCTGGTTGAGGCAAGCCAGGTGTTGGAAGGCTGCTTGGGAGTGGTTTCCTGTAGACCAGAGGACAGAATATTCTTAAGGTGCATACAGGAGACAGCAAGCCCACTGCCTCAGAAGTGCTGCTGCTAAACAAAACCCAGGATGCCCAGGACTGACCAGAAAGGTTCAAGTTTCAGCCAAAAGTGGAGAAAAATGAATGTGGTGCATTTAGTAACTTGATGTTCCAAGACATAATAGCAATTTAATTCCCCCCTCCAACTAGAAAGCTCCAGCCAAGCCAGTGAAACTTCAAATTCATCCGTTCTCTCTCTTACTCAAGTTCAATGCAGATACCAGTCCTTACTTCACAAAATCCTCCCAATACAACTCTGAGTACAGCGGAAGCATTTTCTTGGCCCCTTCTAACATGTAGCAACACGGGAGAACAGTTCAAGAGTCTGTGGACCACTAACCCAACTGAAACCCAATGCTGTATCTCAACAGTATTGTTTCAAGCTTCTCTAGAAAAGCAGAGAACAGATTTTATTATATTAGTCTCCATATGAAGGTATTTCTAGTTTAGCAGTAATACAACAACCACAGGTTTCTCAAATGCTGAACATTCTTAAAAGTAGCACAGACTTGTGCAAATATAGCTAAGAATTTCTGCTTTTATTAATTCATATCCATTTTCCTCAGTTAAGCAACTGCATTTCAGAAATGTTAACAGAAAACAGATTCCTGTTTGTATGCTAGTGCACCTATGCTAGACATGGTGTATGAGGGCTTAAGCTCTGTTCTGCAGAACTTCTGAATATGCTCAGACTGAATCCCAGAACCAAGCAGTCAAGTTTTCATGATCAAGAGAGGAGTTAAAGAACCCAAAGCCTATGTATCATGGTTTATTGAAGAATGATGCTCCTGAAAATGATCCATAGGCAGAAGAGTGGGAATTTACCAGTCAAGTTGCCTCCTGAAAATAAATAATGAAATTTTCCTTCCACAGGCTCACATGCCATGTGAAATACAAATACATCAAGCATCAAATGCCTTGCTGTAAGGCAAAAGTGGGAATAGCCCTAACCCATATTGGCCAAACTCCTAGGCATATTAAAACTTCTGCAGGGTCTAGTTTCAAGAGACCAGGGCAGACTTTGGTTCTATAAGTTGCAGTCGTGCCACAAAAATTAATGTTTCAATATAGTAAGAACTGCTGTAGAGGAAAGGACTTCAGTGAATCTAATAGTACCACATTTGTTCACTTTTGAGAGACGAGATTGCCCACACTAGGATTTGAACCTGACATTCCATGCTATCTGTGTGTTTGCAGATCTAATGCCTGCAGTATTTGTACCTCACCAGGGTCTTTAACTTAAAGCCTTACCTGAACCCCTGGTCCAAGGTGCTGTGTTGTAGTGTTGATAATTTTAATCTTGGTACCGACACCTTGGAGAGTTAACAAAGTATTGCTTGGAGATTTCAAGGCAGGATTTGGTGTCACAAGCTTTTCTGCAGGGGATAGAAGCAACAAAAAATCCTATACACACAGACAAGATAAGGTATTGTGCTGTGACAAGAAAACAATAAATTTGATACCCACACAACAGAATTTGAGGTTTTGCTAGACTTGTCCTGGTAGTTACATAATTCTTTAGTTCTAGGGGATGATAAAAATCTTATTCTCTCACTTAGTGCACAGACAAATCTGAACATCACTAGAAAAGGGTGAACTGAAACATCTTTTGAGTCTTAAGATGCAAAAAACAGATTTTCTAGAAAGAACTATTCTTACGCCATACTACTTCTATCAAGGCAAAAATTGTATTCCCATCTCCCTTGCATTTTACATGCTATGGAAAAGATAAGTGGGATTTCATTTCAGAGACCATCCATTATTTTTAGTCAACACTGACTTCACTTGTATGCTTGACATGTCACTTTGTGGTAGGTACCTTTGGGCCTGCTCCCATTTTCCCTTGCTGTTGATGACTGAAGCTGCTGTGGTTGTTTTATTTCTGTCATGAGCTGTTCCTGCCAGCTGGACTCCAATGGCACACACTCTTTCAGCTTCCTCTCCAGCACCTGCAGGCAAAGCACAGCACCAGATAGAGCCAGTGAACAGAGGGAGGAGATGACTGGTGACAGAACAACTCCTTCAATAGTGACACTGTCTCACAAGTTCCTCACACTCAAGAGGGCACTAGGCCTTGCTCACAAGAGACACAAGAGAAACTTTAGAATACTTTAGCAACTCTCAAATTTGAAATGGAGACTCTAGGAGTACTCCAGAACTCAAAAATGTTCCATGTGGAAGAAGCAATGGAAGAAGTAGGGAGATTTATTGTCTTTATCCTATGATGATGTCACCTCCCATTTTCCTAACCTGCCCAAAAGTTAATTACAGCTAAAATATCTCCCAAATCCAAACCAGCAGCTAAGACATTAGCTCTATATTCCTAGAAACTGTCCTGTCACCTCCAGCATCATCTTGTATTGCTATAATTAGATGTGGCACCAGGTCACTTACAGGTTTTAGATGAGGCTTGGGAGCAGCTACATCAACTTTTGGGGTCCTGTGTTTTTCCTTGATGATCACCTGAAAGAGCAATAATTCTTTCTCTGCTCTTGGTAGACTCTCCCATTCTGCAGTTCAGTGAATAACCTGAGTCAGGATTCAGAAATGTGAGGGGTGGGGAAGCCATAACAAAACTGAATTGGAAAGTGTAGAATGATGAGGTTTACTTATGTGGGTTTCTGGTAGAGACAGAATTGCCTGTGGCAAACTACAGGCAATCAGAAGCACTGCACAGCCCTTTGGGACTTGCACAAGAAGCACACAGCCTTCTAGCCCCAGCCACTCCTGAACTACTTTGGGGAGCCACTGGAAAACATTGTACTCACATTTCAATGTCAGGCATGATCGTGACAAGCACCATGGTCACCCCACATTCATCAGCAAGAACTTAGCTCCGAGGAGAAGAGTAATTGAACGAGTTAAAAATACTGTAACAATAGCTGCAGCAGCAGGCAGCTGTATGCATAAACTTGAGTCCCAGAGAGTGGCTTACAGCCCTACTTAACTAGGAACAATATCAGTATAGAATTGCAGGGCAGGTATTCATGCGAGGCAGACTGTCTCCGTCATCAAGCCCTGTGCTTGCTGCGTAGGGGAGAACTGACAAAAAAAGTCAAGTTGCACAGGCATGTCTTTAGTGGCCTTGTTCACTTATTCTTACTTTGTGTCTCCTCTGTTGACTGTCCAGGTGTATTCAACTTCAGAACACATGGGAGTGCAGGTAGAACAACAGTATAGCTTCCCACACTAGCTGTGCTTTCATTCATTTGCAAATTAGACTGCTGTTTGGTAGAGAAGCTTTGAAATAGCTTTGCAGAGGGGGAAATCCTCGTTTAAGAGCCTTCACAAAGACATGAGCAGTAGCACTCTATGCTTTCTTCTAGCATTTCTGACTGCTGCTTTTCATGTTTGGGGCTTCTTGTCTACCACAGAAAAAAAAGAATTACAAAGAAAGCGAAAAATAAAATCAAGACCCAGTTCATCCTGCCACCTTAAGTCAAGGTTCTGTACTGCACAGTGCATTGATACACAGAACATTGCAAGGAACCCAAGTAAGTAGTTATGATGTATTGTCTCCTCTCCACTACTATTAAATTATACATCAATCAAGATATCATCTCCAGAGAAATGCCATAGCCTTATCTGAAGGCTGAAGCCACAGTCAAGAAATGCAAGAGCTGGGGTTTTATAGAGGTGCATAGTTTAGCTGAGGCATTTAAACCCCCTGCACTCTAACAGCACCAACCAGGAGAAAAAAAAGTCTCATGTCTAGTGTGGTATGCAAATTTTTCACTTTTTAAAATGTTGGGGTTTATTACAAATAGAGTTGTGTCTCATCTTCTGCCAAGCAGTCTGTTCACAAAGCATGCCAATGCCACAAAGCCTTATGCCAATGTTTTAGATCTGCTCATCATTCCCAGTTCAAGCTGCAGCAAGTGAACATCATCCCAAGCTTTTATAGACACCCCAGACGTTTTTGTATCTGGTCATCTTCACCATTTTCACATTGTTGGAAGGCCCCAGCACTTGAGTCAGCTTTTTTTATACCAACTATACTCCTGCAGTACCTCATGAACATGGCCTAGTGGCCTGAGGCTGAGCAAGAGACTCTCTGAAGTGCTTTTGCACTTTCACACATTCCATAAGATCTGAGAAGGCAAGGAAACTAGTAAGAGATGCCAGGCACAGCTCAGTTCAAGAGGCCTAAGAGGACAGAAGTGTCCAAGGTGGAAAGCATAAGTGGGTACAGGTCTGTTTTGTGAAACTGGTGCATGTATGGCAGTGTAATTGCTCCAGGGAAGGGAGTGGCTGACCCCTGAAAGGGGAAAAAGTTTATCACCCAGCTTCATAGAAGTGTTGCTCTCTCTGCATTACACTATTACTGGAAATGAAGTGCTTGAGTGGACAAACAGAGTAATCTAAAGTTGAGCTACAGCTGAGAGGGAGACACAGATATTCGAGTACCTCTGAGAAAGACAGGTTTTGCAGAAGCTGTCTCAGCAAGTATTGCTTAGAAATTAAATAGAACAGGTGACTTCAGAGTTGTCTGTTGACTAACCTTCCGAAGCGTGTACCTCTTGTGCTGAATATCATCCAAAAGTAATTCATAGGGAGAGCAGATACTTTCTTTTGAAGGCACTTGAGGCTGTGGTCGCTCAGTCGCCTTGTGCAGTCTCACACCATTCTGCAGCTCACGGATGATGTTGGGCCACAGGGATGCCTAGGAGAAACCAGTGAGGACCAAGTCAACAACTGGCTAGAATGCACACAGCAGCATCCCTTCCCTCCATGTAATAGGACACGCTTAGCAACTGAAGTCACTCAGAAACACAGAAGTGTGTCTTTGACATCCCCTTCAACTCACTTGCACATCAGGGCACAGCACCAGACAGAGAATTGCTTCTCATTGCAGAAGTTTATTTACAATGAGGGATCAGGAGCTGGCTTGCCAGGTCCATTCCTGAATTTTATCATTAACTTTATGAATGTACTTCAGCAAAACACAGCTGCTTCTGCCAGGTAGCTAGACCCATTTTCTTGAATAACCAACTTCCTGCAAGTGCTCCAGGCGCCAATTTCTTCGTATTATTGGGCCCTAGGAAGCTCTGGGAAAGAAATCCCAGTTCTTACCATTAAAATCTCTGAACCAAGGGTTGAAAGGCCCACATACAAAAGAGGAAGACAAAGGGGAAAGGGATCTCATACTTCAACCTTCACAGACCATGTGTTAGCAGTTTCAGCCTGGAGACAGGAGCTAGTATCTCTAACCTTTGCTCATCCTGTTCCTGTATTAATACCTGAGGATGCTCAGGCATGCAGTATAACTCAACAAAAGTTAAAGACAGGGAAAGAAATTATCAGCTCAATAGCATGTTTATACAACATTGAAATGGAAGTACTAAGTCAACAGCTTATCTGGATCCCAAAGGCAAATTGAGTAAGAACAAGTGATTGTATTATAAACAGAGAAAGGGAAACAAAACATTTTAGAAAACTGCCTCAGACCAAAGCTTCTGACTCCTCTTCCACTTACAGTATGAAACATCTTCTCTTAACTTATCCCTTCAGATATCTTGGTATATTATCAGAAGAGTCTTATGCAAGCTCTGACTGATGGCTGCCTTCAAGGAGACCTATTTTTTTGTTGGATTGTTTAAGCATGGCTTTGTTAGAGCCATAGCTAAACTTCAAAAAACTAGACCTGTGAGAGAGTGACCATATATTAGCCATATCTCTTGGGCTCTATTTCTTGTGTAGGACAATACACAAAAGTCTCTGAGCAAACTGGTCACTATTAGAGACCTCTGAAATAGCTTATCCTGAACCATTTGCACTTTCTAGAGTTGTCTTTCACATAGTAACAGAACTTCACTGAAAGATATTACTTGGAGAGACTTCTCTATTGTAATATTGCCACATTAGTTCAGGGCAAGAATTACCTTTAGCTGTCCACTTCGGAGCAACTTGTACAGCCAAAACATTTTTCACATGTTCGTGACATTATGACTCATATTTTTCTTCCCCTACTGTCTGGATAACTGCAATTACTCTACTTCGGCCATCCCATGTACTGTCAAACTCCACATAAGCTTCCCACATCTGTGCACCACAACCCACGGTGTTACAGCACTCCAAACCCCTTACATTCAGTTCAACAGATGAGTCGTAAGACAGCTGCTAAGGGGTCTCACTGCTTAGATTTCAGGGTGAGGATTTTCTTGTGACTTGTATGGATAAGCTCTGCTGGAACTGTACAATCCTGCACACAAGCAGGCTGTGGTCTGTGTTTCAGAAAGCCTGTTCTGTAGCAGTCAGCATGACAAAGTGTGGTCCATAAAGAACACCGGCTGTTTGGCACCACTCAAGGCATCAGCTCCGATCTGTGGGATCCTAGTGGAGTTAGCATCTTGGTTATTTTAAACTCAATAGTTTGTCAGAGCAACACAATCAACTGGTGCTTAGGGACTTGGAAACTAGAGGCATAGAATTTGCAACAGCATACTGCTTTTGGTATTCATGTCTCCTGAAGAAGCAGAGGCCAAATACACTGGCCTTGAGGCCACACTGCAAAGCCCATGTATTTATTCATGTATTCCCTGCAGAAAAGAGCCATAGCAGTTGATGAGTTTGTGGTTTGAGATAGCTTGCCAGTTTATTTTAATAGATCACAAAATTGAGAATATGCCCAAACACACAGTTCACAAACATTTTCATACAAATAGTTTGAGCACGCTTCAAAGCAAGTGCTATTTAGACAAAGGGAGCGAGTCCACAAGTCTCTTGGGGCTTGCCATTTGTCTCCACAGACTCCAGACTACAGTGCATTTGTTTATGCTGGGCAGAGCTCCAGCCAAAAGAGCTATTTGTTTCTGACCGAGCCCTGACTGTGTAGGGCCTTGAAAAGAACAGAATAAGTTGCTTTCTTTGCCCCAAACACACCGTCAAAGGAGGACAGAATGGAAGGACAAGAAAGGCAGGGAGCAGAAGGTAGGAGCTTCAGCCTCACTCTACTTTGTTTCTTTGAGCTGCTGGAGCTGCACAACCACAAAGATGGACAAAACTAGTGGCCTTCAGTCCTCTCCAGCCCTGAACAAGCATAGACCTCACATAATAAGAGTGAACCAGCCCACACCAGTACTACCACCAACAAAAGAGCTTTCTGGGAGTTTTCAGTCCAGCTACAAGAAAGGAACTAACTGCTTTAGGCAGGTGTGTCAGTTCCTGCCAAGAGCTGAAGCTTGGGGCTCATCTGCAGGAAGAAACAGCCTGAGTAACTACTTGTGGACACTTAACCCAAAGACTGCCTCCAACTTCATTTTTAGAAGTGGTTTAAGTTGAACCACAAAGGCACTCTTCGTGCAGAATAAATGCCCACATGAGGTTAACACATGAAATAATTTACTCCTCAAGTTCACTCCTCAGCTTTTTTTTTTTTTTCGCAGACAAGTCTTTAACTACTTAAGCTCTTGAACAACCTAAGAAGTTTTGTGTTCAAGCTCTACTTTCCATAGAAGAGTCAGTGGAAAGACTCAGATAGTCAAGGTAGTAAAGAAAAGCACTCCATCATAATAAAGGAATTAAATCTCTTACCCAGTGTTTTTCCTTCTTCTGAAGGGGATATTCCACCAGATCTTCCACATCCATTTTTCTCAGACTCTGAGAAGCAAGCACATGAGGTCATTACCTTGCACTGTGTAGTCATTTCCTATCTATCCAGCAGAAATTACTAATGTTAATCTGAAAAGCCTAGAAGCCCAAGATAGCCAAACTCTCAAAAGCTACAACAAATTACTAATGTGGTGCAGAGACAGTAGCCTTTCATATTGTGAAAGCAGAGCTTCAGGCAGGTTCTCCACTTCTAGTGCAATGGGAAGGTTACTTTAGAACTAGGCAAGCGTGTGAAGGTAGAGGGAATAGCAGCTAAGGGATGATCACAAATGTACCTCTTTGGAAGTCTGGATAATGGTCACAAGCTTGTGAAGTTCCAAATATTCAAGAAACAGACTTCTACAGGTCATTTCATAATGGCTGGTAGCCTCAGAAGGCCTGGACACATGCTCCTTACAGGCCTGAAATAAGTGCAGCTATTTAAAACAATTTTGAAATGAAAAAATATGGTAGGATGGAAGCAAGATTCAGTTTTCTCAATCCATGGTTAAAAAACATCCTCCCCACAGCCTCTATCTTTTTTTTTTTTTTTTTTTTTTTTGCTATTGCCTGGGAATAAAGAAGCAGGATGTCAACTGTTATATATACAATAATATAAGTATCTATGTAATTTATATATCTTGTTATCTGTAAGGTGTGCCTTGAAATAAGTACCTGAAAGGGGAAGCCTCCAGTGCAGACAAAGCACAACAAAACACATCAGGTGAAGACACTTGTCCTGTTCTTTTCCCCTGCCCTGATCAAACTGAGGCATGGAAAATTTCTCATATCTTTAAATTATAGGTGAGAGCAAAATACTGGTTTGAGTTGAGACATTCAAATCCCAGCTCTTGCAGAAAATGAATACTGTAGGCAAGTGACTTTTTTTCAATACCCATAGTCTTCTAGGTATCAAATTTGGAGACTATGTACAGAAGGACTTTGTAGACACAGCTGCATGAGAACCATGCTCAGATTCCTTCTTAGCTCTTTTCCATAGACACTTGCGTGTCTGTAAGATGGTTTTTGCTTTTTTCCCCCTCTGATGGGAAAGCCACGTGCCCCCTCTGTGCCCTCCAACAAGCTTTGTCCTGGACATGGTTTTGCCCCTTGGTGAACAGAATTGTTCCACCAACTCCTCTAAAGCTGCTATATGTACTAAGTGGGAAGAAGGAAACCTTAATAACATCCTGCAGGGTCACTGCTGGCTTCATTGCCTCATCATCCAGTTTCAACATGAGACACAGCAGTTTCTCCAAAGGATCACTCAGTTCTCGCTCTGCTTGGCTGTCGATTCCCCAGTCCAGGGCTTCATAGATCAGCACCCCCAAGTACTCCAGCAGCTGCAGACAGAGACCAAGGAAGCAGTGCAGCGCAGAATGTGGTGGAGAACTTCACAGCTCTTGCTTCCCAGCCGTGCCAGTACCCCACACCATGCCTCAGTGCTGAGCACATCTCTCATTATGAGAAAGGCCCGAAAGGCAGCTAGATGCTCAGTGTGTAGTCTGAGATACTCCTTAAACTAGCTATTTTAAGATTTTTAATTACCTTCTCTATCACCTGTAAGTTATCTGTTATTAAGACAAAAAGACTATGGGCTATTCCACAGGAGGCAGCATTTCTGCTCATTGTTTCCCAGCCCCACTGTTACACTGAAGTACAGTCCTAGCATTTTGTTTCATTATCCAGATTGCAGGGGACAGGGTCACTTACACAGGGAACAGCAAACGTAAGCACCTTGATAGCTTCCAAAGGCATGTGCACCTCCTGAGTTGGCCTTCTACTGCAGCAGGATTATATCTGCACACATATGAAGATGAGGCCACAGGCTTACCTTGTCCTCTGACTGCTGGATGCTGCCAACATCTGAAAGGGGAAAAAGAGGGGATGGGGAGAAAGATAACTGAGGCATCGATAAGCAGCTTTTAGACTCTCTGTCAAGACAGAGAAACAGGAAGAATTCTTGGTAATAAGGAAATAAACCCCTCTGAATGAAGTCAGTCCCACCTGGGGGAAGTAGGCCTATATCTGGGGACTCCTGGAAAGCGACACAGGGTACTCTTATTATTATAAGCATTAGCCCCAACTAATTGCTAGCTGGTACTTTTTTTGTTTGTTTGCTAACAAGTATCTCTCCACAAGGAAAGCACTGGAGCTTTATTCTTTATGACCTGTTCTTATCCCTGGAGACTCAGCCTAGCACTGACTTCTGCTGTAGTGCAACTAAACAGTGCACAGGACAAAAACTTGTTGCCGTTTGCTGGCTACACAGAGTAACAAAAAAGGGAAATTATCAGTCATAAATCTGTTGTGAGCATTACTATAACAAAGGGACCATACATTAGAAGATGAACAGAGCAAGACATATAATGAGGACTCAGACTATTTGTTTCAAATAACATAAGTGGTGACAAAACTTTCATCCCAGCTATTCACTACAGCAAAATGACTCACTACAGCACTGTTAGAAAAATCAGTAGGCTGTACATCTGTATTACCACTCATCTACAGTCCTTTGAAATTAACTATAGGCAGCAAAACAGACTCATAGCAACATACAGAGAGGAAAGGGGGAAAAAAAAAAGGCAGGAAAAAAACATTTCAGCCTGTTATACAAGCAGGCCTTGACATTCACAGCTACCTGTGCTCTTACCAGAGTTGTGGTACACCTTGAAGGAAGCAGTACCATCAGCATGGATAAAGATGCTTCCAAGGCCTTTCACGAACACAGACTGCAGTGGTGGGTACAACCCCCGAGCCAGCTGCTCCATTTTACAGCAACACTGAAAGCAGACAGCCCAGGCTTGCTCCTCACTTATAGGATGTTCCAAACACCTCAGAATCTCAGCTAGAGAGACCTTAGTGATCCTCTGCTCACACAGTGGAGACTCCATTTTCACCTTCTCATCCCTACTCTGAGCCTAGGCAGCCCAACACCCTCCCCTTCCCAGGGCAGACAAGGGCCCATAGCAGCTTTATACCAGTTCTGCCTCCCGGTTTGCTCTCACACCTCACTTCCCTACAGGTGTGGTCATTAATGCCAATTTTGCTCTGCCTTTTTAAAGGGACACCCCTTTAACCTGTGCTTGTATGAGACTCCTTGAAAGAAAACAGCAAGCATACAACAAAAGGGAACCTAAAGAGATGGTAAGGCTGTACGGAATCCGTGCTCCATTTAACTCCAGCAAATGTATTAACGGCAATACCAACATTGGGAGGTAAGAAAATAGCTCGTTTGACTCCAGACACAAAGGGAAGGCAGCAAGAAGTAATTTCTTACACTCAGGGGAGAAGAGCTCACTGAAAACCTGCAAAAAACACTCAGCCCGCTGGATGGGAGGCCCTTCTGGGAGCACCGATACGTGACAGCGACGGGCCCCGCAGGCCCCGCTCCTGCCTGGCCCTGACCCTCGGGGCAAACCCCAGCAAACCCCGCAGCCCGGCTGGGGAACCACCCGTGCGGGGACGCGGCCGAGAGCCCCGGGCCCACCCGCGGCCTGCGGGGCGGGCAGCAGCCACCCCCGCCCCCTGACGCGGCCC